TTAAATTTTCTCTGTTTTCGATGAAATTTGGACTGATCCACCGAATAATCGTATCTAATAGATCAAGTATGAAACATGTTGTGAAGATTTTTTAAGGTTTTATTTCATTCTTTCGTGTACCAAGATAGCTTATAGGGCATATTTTTCATTAAATGTCTTTAGGAGCTCCAAAAATAATTTATAACAGTTAACAGCATTGTTATTATCAGAAAATGATAACCCGTCAATTGATGCGAGCATTGAATTATGTACGATAGAAATGAAACATTTGTGATCTTGAGTGAATAACGAAATTAGAAAAATATTTATTATTAACATTAACTGCAGTTCCTCCATATAAAATAATCTGTGAAGAAATATTACTGTTAGACAATAAATTACAACTCTTCAATGTGAAAAACATATCATTTTTAATAATTTCAACGTTACGAAATTTCAAATAGAATGTCATATATGAATATTGTATATTTTCCGCAGTTTATTCGATGTTATCCAAATCAAAAAATGCTGATAAAAACTTTGCAAATCTGCGACTTCTAAAAAATGCAAACCGGCTGCATTACATTATCGAGAACACAAATCAAATGAAACGATATACATATGTATGTACATTTTTTTTATTTGCATTCTGTTTGAAATCAAAAACCAGTAAGGAAAGTAGTAAAGTCGGACGGGGCCGACTATATGATACCCTTCACCACTTTGAGTATATTCAACAGATGAATCCTAACAGAAGTCGCATTTTTAAAGGACCAGTAAAATGAAATTGGAACCATAAACACGTCATTCTGCAACCGATACTAAATTCTTCATTTGGTCAGATATAGAAGCTATATCTAAATCTGAACCGATTTCAGGAAACTTAACACACATCATTCTAGACCTAATTTGTTACGCTGTGCCAAATTTCGTGCAAATCGAAAGATATATAGGGACTTTGGTGCACCATTTACATTAAATCTGACGAAAGTATATGTGGGAGCTATATATAAATCTGAACCGATTTTCAGGCAACTTTACACACATCATTTTAGACCTAATTTGCTACGCGGTGCCAAATTTCGTGTATAAATCGACTCAAAAAGTGATTCTATGCATATTCTCAAAAGGAGCCATGGGTCTATCTCGATTATTTTTGCATGTTACAAACATAGGCACAAAAACATAATACCCTGTACCAGAAAAAAGAATTTGGTTCAATAACCTCAAAACCAGAAAAAATTGACCAATATTTATAATTTATGGTGGAGAGATGTGCTACCTAATAAGAACTCGACGTACTAAATTACAGTCAATTTGGTCGAAAAATCCGATCAGAACCCCCAAAATACCAAAAATTTTGGGGTACCGTTATATGGGTACTACCAGAAAAACTGGACCTATATTTATAATTTTTAGTGGAGTAATTTGGTACCCAATAAGAACCCAATGTACAAAATTTCAGCGAATTCAGTTATAAAACGAGCCCAAAAACCCGAAAATACCGAAAATTGGGGGTGCCCTTATATGGGGGCTTTCCGAAAAAATGGACATTTATTTATAATGTTTGGTAGGGAGATTTGCTACCCAATAAGAACACAATGTAGAAAATTTCAGCGAATTCGGTTGAAAAACGCGCTCATAAACCCCAAAATACCGAAAATTGGGGGTAATCTTATATGGGGGCTATGCGAAAAAATGGACCGCTATTTATAATTTTTGGTAGGGAGATTTGCTACCCAATAAGAACACAAAGTACCAAATTTCAGCGAATTCGGTCGGAAAATGCGATCAAAACCCCCAAAATACCGAAAATTGGGGGTAATCTTATATGGGGGCTATCCGAAAAAATGGACCTTTATTTATAATTTTTGATAGAGAGATTTGCTACCCAATAAGAACACAAAGTACCAAATTTCAGCGAATTCAGTTAAAAAACGCGCTCAAGAACCTCAAAATACCGAAAATTTTGGGGTACCCTTATATGGGAGCTATGCCTAAACGTGGACCGATTTTTTCCAATTTCAATAGGGTTCGTCCTTGGGCCAATTAAGTGACCTGTGCCAAATTTCATCCAAATCGGATCATAAATGCGACCTGTACTTTGTTAACAAAAATACATGGACGGACGGACGGACAGATGGACATGCATAAATCGACTCAGAAAGTGATTCTATGCATATTCTCAAAAGGAACCATGGGTCTATCTCGATTATTTTTGCCTGTTACAAACATATGCACAAAGACATAATACCCTGTACCACAGTGTGGTGAAGGGTATAACAAGAAAGAACTCACGCGTTTATTAAAAAAAAAACTGTCACAAAGACGCGTGCGAACAATTTTTAAGTCGTTCGCACCGTTCTTTTTCTACCGTATTGTGCAGGATATTAGAACATATTATCGATATAATCTAAATTATCAATATTTATATGATAATGATAAGTCGGATATTGCCGTATATATTTCACCGAAGATTACTAGTCCTTAATTATACCCTTCACCACACTGTGGTACAGGGTATTGTCTTTGTGCATATGTTTGTAACAGGCAAAAATAATCGAGATAGACCCATGGTTCCTTTTGAGAATATGCATAGAATCACTTTCTGAGTCGATTTATGCATGTCCGTCTGTCCGTCCGTCTGTCCGTCCGTCCATGTATTTTTGTTAACAAAGTACAGGTCGCATTTATGATCCGATTTGGATGTAATTTGGCACAGGTCACTTAATTGGCCCAAGGACGAACCCTATTGAAATTGGAAAAAATCGGTCCACGTTTAGGCATAGCTCCCATATAAGGGTACCCCAAAATGTTCGGTATTTTGAGGTTCTTGAGCGCGTTTTTTAACTGAATTCGCTGAAATTTGGTACTTTGAGTTCTTATTGGGTAGCAAATCTCTCTATCAAAAATTATAAATAAAGGTCCATTTTTTCGGATAGCCCCCATATAAGATTACCCCCAATTTTCGGTATTTTGGGGGTTTTGATCGCATTTTCCGACCGAATTCGCTGAAATTTGGTACTTTGTGTTCTTATTGGGTAGCAAATCTCCCTACCAAAAATTATAAATAACGGTCCATTTTTTCGCATAGCCCCCATATAAGGGTACCCCCAAATTTTCGGTATTTTGAGGTTCTTGAGCGCGTTTTTTAACTGAATTCCCTGAAATTTTGTACATTGAGTTCTTATTGGGTAGCAAATCTCCCTACCAAAAATTATAAATAAAGGTCCATTTTTTCGGATAGCCCCCATATAAGATTACCACCAATTTTCGGTATTTTGGGGGTTTTGATCGCATTTTTCGACCGAATTCACTGAAATTTGGTACTTTGTGTTCTTATTGGGTAGCAAATCTCCCTACCAAACATTATAAATAAAGGTCCATTTTTTCGGAAAGCCCCCATATAAGGGCACCCCCAATTTTCGGTATTTTCGGGTTTTTGGGCTCGTTTTATAACTGAATTCGCTGAAATTTTGTACATTGGGTTCTTATTGGGTACCAAATTACTCCACTAAAAATTATAAATATAGGTCCAGTTTTTCTGGTAGTACCCATATAACGGTACCCCAAAATTTTTGGTATTTTGGGGGTTCTGATCGGATTTTTCGACCAAATTGACTGTAATTTAGTACGTCGAGTTCTTATTAGGTAGCACATCTCTCCACCATAAATTATAAATATTGGTCAATTTTTTCTGGTAGGCCCCAGGTTTTGAGGTTATTGAACCAAATTCTTTTTTCTGGTACAGGGTATTATGTTTTTGTGCCTATGTTTGTAACATGCAAAAATAATCGAGATAGACCCATGGCTCCTTTTGAGAATATGCATAGAATCACTTTTTGAGTCGATTTATACACGAAATTTGGCACCGCGTAGCAAATTAGGTCTAGAATGATGTGTGTAAAGTTGCCTGAAAATCGGTTTAGATTTATATATAGCTCCCACATATACTTTCGTCAGATTTAATGTAAATGGTGCACCAAAGTCCCTATATATCTTTCGATTTGCACGAAATTTGGCACAGCGTAACAAATTAGGTCTAGAATGATGTGTGTTAAGTTTCCTGAAATCGGTTCTGATTTAGATATAGCTTCTATATCTGACCAAATGAAGAATTTAGTATCGGTTGCAGAATGACGTGTTTATGGTTCCAATTTCATTTTACTGGTCCTTTAAAAATGCGACTTCTGTTAGGATTCATCTGTTGAATATACTCAAAGTGGTGAGGGTATCATATAGTCGGCCCCGTCCGACTTTACTACTTTCCTTACTGGTTTTTAATTTCTTATAAATTTCGGCAAGTCGACTTTTGAGTAATTTACATTTTGTATTAAAATAATTAAAGGTCAAAGTTGACTTATAATCATCTGCCAGGAACAACATCTACAAAAAATAAATTAATTGATTCTGTTAATTTTTATGCTTTTGTAATTAGTAAAATAAAAAGCGAACTCAACATAACATCCATTTACTGAAGGAGATCGAAAGTTAATAAAAAAATCGAAAATAGAAATCAACCACCACTTGAATGTTGTAGAGATTTATAAATATGTATATCGATAGATACTGCGTTTCAAATAAAAAAGAAAAAGAATGCATTCTGACAAAATGCGATTGTGCCATGTCCAACACCAGTCAAAATTTAAATTAAGAAAAATGACAACAACAACAAACTGTTCCAAATTTTACTGATAACATTTGTGAAGGCAAAAAAAAACTAAAAACAAGATTGTTTATGTCAGCCCAATATGCAATGCCACAGAACAACCCAAACACCAGACAGGTCTTCGACGTTGTACGCACGATGGGGCACAAATGAAAATTGCCACACCAATCTTGGCTAGAACCCGATGTGGAACAACCGACAGTCATTCATATATAAATGTCGACATTTAATTGGCAAATATCATAGTTCAGCTCAGGAGTTGCAAGTGATACAACGAACGGCAGCAGAAGTTTATAACTCAAGCTATATCCTTAAAAATTGTCCACACTCTCAGTAACCCTCACCAGTAACTATGTTCAAGGTAATTAGCGGCGTTCAATAACAGACCAGAACACTTTGACTTTTTGTGTATTTGTTTGGCAGCTATTCTGTCTCCTGATTGTCGGCGTCACTGCTGTGCTCGCCATCGAATATCCTTTAGGTCATGGACTACCTTATCATGCGCCTGCTGCTATTATCAAGCCTGCTCTGATTAAGACTGTCGAGGTAGAAGCTCCTGCGCATTACGATTTCTCATATTCGGTGCACGATGAACATACCGGAGATATTAAGAGTCAGACCGAATCTCGCAAAGGCGATCAAGTCCATGGCCAATATACCCTGGTTGATGCTGATGGCCTCCTGCGTACTGTAGACTACACTTCGGATGCCCATAATGGCTTCAATGCGATTGTACGACGTGAACCGTTGGGCCACAAAGTGGTCAAGGCCATTGCCCCCGTTGCCAAAGTTTTACCCTTGGCCTATCATTAATCGAGTTGAAGTGAATCAGAACATTCTCTGACTCATTGATATCGCTCCTGACTGCTAATCGATCGATTATAACCCTGTACAAGACCTATTTTCCTTTCGTCTACACGCTGCTTCAAATATTGTCTATCAACTTCTTAACAGCAAATGCCCATTATTTGCATTACTGTGCGATGTATTCGATCCGAAATTTGGACCACCCATGATCTTCGTCCTACTGGCACACCTGTAAATATATGCATATTTGTAATTTCTTCACTTCATTTATACATAATTAATAATAGTTTAGCTACATACATACATATGATGCATGCGTATACAAATAAATAAAAACGCTCGCCAAAACACAAATATATACATTTTTGTTTTTAACAAAAAAAGAACGAAAACCCGATTAAACGCAATTAAAATTGAAGAGAAAGAATAAGCAAATAAAAATAGTTTGAAATACAGTAATCACTGCAAATGCGTTGCATATTTTTAGGAGTTATACTTTACTACTTAAACAATTTTAACCGACCATTACGGTGATAATTCAACATGTCGTATCGTGATGTATTTTTTTTTTTTTATAAAAATTCTTTAACAACTCTAGGTTATGCAATTTCATTTCATCCGGCTATGTGTATGCGAGAAATATACATAAATCTGAACATTTTACGAAAATGCCAGAAATTCCATTCCAGATACACTAACATATTTTTAGCTTTAGCCGAAGCAAAACAATTCGAAATGTACCACCGTCGGGACACAAAAAATCGTAGTGTTCTATTGTTGGTTCCATTTGTCGGAAAAGTAGAAAAAATTGTGATTTTGTTGTTACTGTGTTGTGCTTGGCGACAAAGAAGTAAGCGGAAAATATTGAGGATGTGAATGTCAAGTGTCTGTGCCTCACATAGATAGTCAGTGTGGTGGAGATCGTGGCCGTGTCATCCATACAAAACTTTGTTGTATGCTGAATAAATATAAAATTGTAATGATAAATGTATTATCCAGTCTTTCAAACTTAACAAAAATTAGATCAAGCCCTTCGTTAAAAAAACATAAAATGAACGTTATCGTGTTGTTAGAAATGTTTGCGGAAGACAAAAAGTTCAGCTAAAAATAATTAATTTCAATTTAAACAAAGAAATAAAGGTATAAAGATACGACAATTGGTACGTCGACAAATTCCAATAGTTATATCATAACAACAGCGTTACAGTACAAATAACATTTGTAAGAATTGGGATAGTCCGTATCTGTATACATACAGTGACTCCATCGCATAATCGGACAGACAAATTTTTGTGATGTGTGTGTTCTAAACTGAATAAAAATACGAAATATGTGTTGCTTTTCCACCTTTTATTTTTATACTACACTCTCATCTTAAAAATAATAAAAGAAACAAAAACATTTTTCACAATTCACTATCAATTAAAATATGTTTAAGATACATATATACCAAATTACCTTATTCCAAAAATCTTCTCCTTTTAACAAGTACTCCTTAGCAAATTTCATTCTCATTTTCTTATTTTTGGGGCTAACAAATGGTTTTTTCTAACAATTCTGCCATGGTAATTATATTTATGCAATTTATTGCAAACTGTGTTAAGACAAACATCTTTTCCACTGCTGGTCTTCAACAATATTTGTAAATCTTTTGCAGTTTTAAAAGGATCTTTTTTTAATTTCCTTCACTATATAGCGTTCTTCTCTGTCATTAAAAATTTTGCCTTGTCCTTTTCGGCTTTTATTTTCTAATCTACCCTCATTACGGAACTTCTTGATGACGTCTTGGACAGTAGATTTGCTTCTTCCTACCAATTCAGCCATTTCTCGCACCGTTTTCCCTTCAAAATTCAATTTTACAATTAACTGCCTTATTTCAACAGAAGATAGTTTTCCGTTCGGAGCCAAAATTTTTTTTTGTAAAAACTCCATCTGCCTGTTACCATATGCAAATTATGATTAAATGTGACAAGAATACATGTTGAAATATATTTTTGGTAAACTAACCGTACTTACTGATTCATTGTTTTTATTTGTCCGATTATGCTTTGAGCACAATAAATGAAGTAAATATCCTTTTGAATAAAAATTTAGCGTTATTAAGAAGACAGCAATAGTTTTATATTATTATTCTGTAAAATGAGAGTATGTACATTAAAGCAAAAAATAACTTAAATATTTGTTATTTTACTTTAGTTTTGAGCGTATCCATATCACTTAAATTCTTGTCCGATTATGCGATGGAGTCACTGTATATATAAAAGAGCTTAATGTTAAGTAAGTGAGTGAGTGACAGATCATCGCCCAGACGAAACGGCTAAAGGTAGAAGTTTGAAATTTTGAGTGTGGGTTGTTGTTGGTGTGAGATAAGACTGTGTTTTTGGAAATTCGAACTAGAAGATCACGAAAAGTACTAAAATCGACCAAATATGGTATCCTTTGTATTAGGCGAGCGGCAGGGGCTAGAATTCTGAAATTTGGAATGTGGGCCACTGATGTAAAGACAGAAAGATGTACTAAAGTTTTTTTTTGGAAATTCGATGTATAGGTGTACTAAAAGTACTAAACTTTACTAAATTTAGTCCTAATTGAATGTATTGAACACATATAGCTAGAATCTTGAAATTTTATATGGAATACAGGTTGGGATGTGGTGTTGATGTATGGAAATGGATTCAGATATTCGTACTTATGTGTATAAATGGTACTAAATTTGGTACTATTTGCATTTAGTTGAGCGTAAAGATATGAAATCCTGAAAATAGGAATTAGGACTATTATTGGAGTACAGGATGGGGGTAGCTTTAAAAAATTTTACTTATGTGTACGAAAAGTACTAAATGGTACTAGATTTGGTACAATTTGGATTTGGGTGAACGGAGAGAACTGGAAACCTAACATTTTGAATAATGGTTTCTGTTCAAAAATATAGAATTGAGATATGGAAGCATAGTACTTTTGTGTTAGGTTAGGTTTGGGGATGTGCAGTCACGTGTATGACTGCAACACTCTGAGACCGGTTAGGTCCGTTGTGATCATCCACAAGAAGAGATACAGCGAAGTGAAGAGACAAGAGATAGATCTGTAGGGGAGAGAAGATTTGTGAATTAAAGGAGTTAAGAGTGAAGGTCGATGGTCCTATGAGTCAGACAGAAAAGTGTTACGTGCCAAGGTTGTATGCTCCCATCCACTTTATGTTTCTAATTATGCTGTAGATTAGAGCAGGTTCGGTTGTTGAGAAGAGACTGATACTAGGTAGAAAATGAGCACCCATTAGTCTGTGCCGCCTGTAAGCCAGGGCTGGGCACTGGCACAGGAGATGCTCAATTGTCTCCGTCTCCTCCTCGTCAACACAGAGTCTACAGTAATCAATTGCATCGAGATCCCATTTACTAGTAAAGGCCCTGATGTTGCAGTGACCAGTGATGATTCCTGTCACCACTCTAATTTCGGCTTTACTCAGGTTCAATAGTGAGCGCGTTCTTTTGGTAGACAGAGTCGGCCAAATGGATCTTGACACGTTGCACCTAGGTTCGTTGTGCCAAAGTTCACAGGCTGTTTCGTCAAAGAATGCCTCGAAATTCCTATAGAAAAGACATATGGGTGGTTTGATTGAGTCATCAATTTCTAAATCGGTGGATTGAGATCCTCGTCTAGCTAGTTCGTCCGCTCTTTCATTACCCAAAATGTCACAATGTCCTGGTACCCAACACAACCGATAGCTGCGGTTAAGTTCTTCCAGAGCTGCTCTACACTTGAGGACGGCTTCGGATTTGATGTGACAAGATTTGATGGCTTTAAGAGCCGCTTGACTATCCACAAAGATAGTCACCGGTTCAACGACCTCAGCATCCAGACTTTTTATCAATTCCGCTGCCTTCCAGATCGCGAAGATTTCAGCTTGGAAAACACTGCAGTTGCTATCCAGCTTGTAGGTTAACTCAAGGCCTAACCTTTCACAGTAGACGCCTGCCCCGTGCCTTCTTCCATCTTGGATCCGTCTGTATAGAAAGCCAGACCGTCCAGAGGAGGGTTACTTCGTTTCCAGTCGTCTCTACTAGGAATTACGACATCTACATCGTCAAATCTAAGGATTGGTGATATATAGTCGCTTAGTTTAATGCGTTGATCCAAAGCTATACCTGGTTCATTCAGAACACTACTATGCCCAAAGGTACAGTTCCGCCAGAGTTTTTGTTTATGCAGCCGTAGGGCGCTACGCACAGCTTGACACTTAATGCTGAGGCCCAAAGGCTTGAAATCCAGCATTGCGTTCAAAGCTGCTTGTGGCGTACTCCTTCTGGCTCCTGTAACTAAAATCGCTGCGGCTCTTTGTACCATGTCTAATTTTCTAGATGTCGACTTGAGGCTCAGACAGTTCCACTAAACAAGATAGCCATAGGACAAGATGAGCTTCACCACAGTGTTATACATCCAGTGTATAGTCGATGGTTTTAGCCCCCAGCTTTTTCCAATGGAGTTCTTGCATGCATAGAGTGCAATCATTCCTCTCTTCGCTCGCTCCTCAACGTTCCTTTTCCATCGTAGTTGACAGTCCAGGATTGTGCCGAGGTACTTTGCTTCGGGGGATAGGTGAAGTTGCACTCCATCCAATGTTGGTGGAACAAAAACGCCGAGCTTACGCTTCCTAGTTTTCCATGGTTTTTTACAGTGTTTATGTTGAAATATATATGTATTTTATTCATACATATCAGAAATGCATTTATTTATTAAAAAATATATACACAAAGTTTCGAAAATTAAAAAATTCAAATCAAAATTTATTAAATTATAAAATGACTTAAAAACAAACATTAACACCGTGAAAAATACAGTTAATTTCATAATATTATTTACCCATTTGAAATTTTGAGAAATCGAAGCTAAAAGTTAAAAACTCCGTTTTTACTGGAGTTTGTTGCGCGTGTTCAAAGGTGTCCCACCTGTGGCATTTTACGGAAATTGATAATAATTTTTTTGTAGAAAATATATATGAAAGAAAATACATTAGTTATGTTTGTAATGATTGTTGGAATGCAAAAACAATTGTTTAACGAAAGAAAACGATCACCGAATTCTCTCTGCGCCCTTACAACCAAAAAATTAAAAGTTTACAATGGCACTGCGAAAACAGGGTCACCCATGTACATTTTGTCGACAACTCAAAAAGATAGGCAAAGTGGTTTACGCAGATAGAGAACAAAATTGCCATATACAAAAATGTGGTTACGGGTCGGAAAATTTTTAAACCGAGATTTTAAGAGCACTGTTCAAAGGTGTCCCCCTCTCCCCTACTAAATGGTACAAAATTTGGTACCATTTAGATTTGAGTAAACGAATAGAGATGGAAAATGTAAATTTCAAATGAAAATTACAGAATTACAGTAGTATTGGAATTTCGTACTTATGGATACGAGAAGAACTAAATAGAATAAATACCGTACAATTCGTTTTGTGGAAAATTTGGAATTAAAATTAAGGTTGGAGTGTGGGATGACCAATGGAGGAGATATTTTTGAAAATGCGTAATTATGTGTACTAAATGGTACTAAGTACAATTTAGATTTGAGTGAAAGGATCGAGATGGAAAACTTATATTTGAAAATAAATCTACTGTTACAGCACAGGATTGAGACTGTGTTGGAAATTCGAACTCATAAGTATGAAAAGTACTAGATGGTACTAAATATGGTAAAAATTGGGTCTATGTGAACGGATAGGGCTGGGATTATAATTACTGTTGCAGTGTGGAATTGAGGAAGTTTTAGAAACTCGTATTTACGTCTACGAAAAGTAATAAATTGTACTGAATTTAGTACAATTGGGATTTGGGTGAACGGATAGGTTTGGAATCTTTAAATATTGGAGTGTATGACTGAGGTAGTTTTGGAAATTCGTACTTATGAGTAAGAAAAAAAAATAAATTTGGACTTACGATTAGTATTTGAAAGCAGGTTTGAAATATTGAGGTTAGTTTGAAAAATCTGGTATAATTTGGTTTTTAATGAACAGACAGAGCTGGAATTCTTAAATGTGGACTTACGATAACTATTTGAAAGCAAAAATGAGATACATTTCGAAATTTGTACGAAAAGTACTAACTTTGGTACAATTTGAACTTTGGTGGAATTAAGATTACTGTTAGAGTGTAGGATTGATATAGTTTTAAAAATTTGTACTTATGAGTATGAAAAGTACTAAATGGTAATAAATTTGGAACAATTTAGATTTGGCTGAATCCTTAGATTAGAATTTAGATTACTGTTGAAGCTATGGAAACTCGAATTAATGTGTACGAATAGTAAATAGAATAGAAATGCATTAAAGTTGCTATTGATTGTGACAGGGTCGAGACGTTACGGTTTCTATGTTTTTGACAAAATTCTAGAGCAGATGGCTAGGCTGTCTAGCCATCGGGTACCGAATTTGGTGGTATTCTGGTTAAAACTCAAAACCTATTAAGGAACTTTGTGTTTGCATCGATCTATTTTTACCCTTCGGTGGAAAATAAAAGTTTTAAAGATGAAATAATAATGCAACTTGATTGACTGTGATTGCGGGAGAAAGAAATAAGACTGATGGTGTTGATTGCCAATTCTATTCTGATTTATTTATGAAACATTTTGACTTAAGAACTACCTAATCTAATCTAACTTAGCCTAATATTATACACATAAGAGATAACATTTGTTTACATTACCAAATGAGCGCACCAACATCTTTGTGCGTGTGGGCTGCTATTAATTCTTCATTATCAGCTCACAGATTCATAAAACCACATTGTAGTGATCTCTATTTACTCACCCACTGAGCGCATGTTATGGAGATATCCTTTATTAGCTATACATCTTCAGGACCATGGAGCGTTATCCCTTATGTGCATGCACACACAAATAGATTCTAGGACTGTTTACATACAGTATTTTTCGGTTAATTGCACATACAAATTTGCACAATTTTCTGTTCAATAAACCGAGGAACCAATTACCCGATACCCGCTTAATTGAACTGTTTGTTCAATTACAGTAACCACGTATAATTCGGCGAAATTAATTTCTAATGTTATTGTCAAATACAAATTAAACACTTACGCTTTCTCGCGAATTTTCCCTAGCAATAAACATATGTTTTCAATTAGTAGGGATGTACCCTGGTGTTTTTCATAAATTATGTCAAATATGAATATAAAACCAGTAAAGAAAGAAGTAAAGTTGTACTGGGCCGACTATATGATACCCTTCACCATCTTGGTTTATTCTACATATGTATCCTAACAGACGTCGCTCTTCGAAGGAACATTGACATGAAATTCAACGAACTTAAATATGTGGTATTTATCTATCTATATTTATCTGAACCGACTAACATCAATCCATACATATGCCAGTCCACAACCTATGCTATAATTTACATTAAATCGGCAGAAAAAATTTCCCTTAAATTTAACACACGTCATGCTAGACTTAAAACGAAAAATATATATGGGAGATATATCTAGATGTGAACCGATTCTTCTCAATATCAATAGGATTCGTCCTTGGGCCAAATAAAGTTCGTGTACCAAATTTCATCTAAATCGGATTATAAATGCGATCTGTACTTTGTTTAAAATTTAACATCAACAGACGGACGGGCATGCATAAATGGACTCAGAAAGTGATTCAATGCATATTCTAAAATGGAACCATCGGTCTTTAAAAATGCCAGATTATTTTTCAATAATAATGCAATTAACCGCTGAAAAATTAAAGGAAATTTAATTTTGATGGCATGAATTTTGAATCAATTAAACGGGAAAATCAATTAACAGTGTTTAATTATCCGAGAAAATTTACATATGTTTTCGTATATAATATTGTTTTGCCTCATCATGTGGTTCAATTAAGTGGGGAAACCAATTAACCGTAGAGTCAATTCACCGAAAAATACTGTATTAGTTCTGACTGGAAAGATATGAGAATGTGGTCATATGCAGAGATTTCAATCCTATCAATCTTCTTGTGGGACATAGGAAGCAGCTAGCGGCTGTTAAAAAATCTGTAAAGACGAGGGATGAAGTAGAGCAATGGTGCGAGGTCAAATGCCGAGACATGAAAAATGTTAAGGAACCCTTTCTTGACAACTTTTTAGGTGATATTGGGAGAATAATAAGAGTAATCCCAATTTCCACAGGAAATAAGTACCTTAATATAATTATGGCATAATTATACAAGGTAGTCTCATGCAATCATATGCTTAATAAAATTTAAAAACACAATTAATAAAATTAAAACAAAAAATATCTGGAAAAAAGTACGACTACGACTTTTTTCCATTACAGATATTTTATTTTTAATTTTATGAATTGTGTTTTTAATTCATTTAATTTTATTATTGTATTATTGTTCTATTCATTTGTGTCATTATTTTTATTAATATACGAATTCCCTTTAATTTTTATATTAAAATATACTACTATAACTATACGTCATGGCATAAGGTGGTCTCATGCAGTCATAAGTTTCCAATTTTTTCATAAATTTGCTTTTGGCAACATTCAGCTTTCAAAATTTAAATGCAAATATCTTCCTTCGAAATGTACGCACATTATTATATTATAATTGTGAATTTATTCAAGGTATCGAATATCAAATACAAACCATGGTATAATAATAGAAGCTAACATCCATGATGATGCAATAATAAGGTGATGTATCAAAACAAAAACCTTTGGCTAAATGGACTACCTATTCATTGTGTCATGGTAACAGCAAGTGTTGTTGTACAAATGATACAACAACCACATGGAAATTTGTTGTTGGAAGTTATACTGGTGTCAACGTCATTTGACAGAAAAATGTAAACGAACAAACACATTATATTTATTTTGAAAATGTGGTATTTTCGAATCCTTAAAATAAAATTGAAAACATGAATGAAAATCTATCAAATTTATGTTTCTATAATTGAGGCATCGCCACTTATATGTGTAACACATATGAAAACGATGGGAATTGCGAGTTATTCCAAGATTTGCTTCCTGAAACTTTCCCTGCAAGCTGATTGAATACATTTAATATACAATTACATTTAATAAAGAACAATTTCGAATTATATACGTTTCCAATTTTCCTGTTGGGTGATTTTTAAAAACATAATTTGTCATATTCATATTGACACTAGTATTATGCTGGAATCGAATCAGCTGGGGTTAGCTATTACCTTTTATAATTGTACCATGAATACAAACCAAAATCATTTTTCATACACTGTTTGAAATAGCTAAAAATAAGGCATATTTTGCCAGGAAATTCATTTGAGCGCAGCAAATTTAAATAAAAATTTTAAAAAATTAAAAATTAAAACAAACTTCAAAATATTGTTATTATTAAATTAATAATTTGCATG